TAGGTTAACTGTGTTTATGTTTGATAAAATTCGAAAAGTTAGAATATCTAAATTAGTAAAACTTAAAAAGTAAAAATATTTTGAGTTGACTAATCTCAATGAAATTTTTTCAACGAAGATAGTTAGTTTTTTCTAAATTATTTATTTGGAAAATATTGATAATACGTTAGTATCATCATACGTGGAATCATTGAAACATTAGACTCGCTACATTCCAAAAAAAAAAAAACCGAATGGACCAAGTTAAAAAAATCTAGTGACTTAAAATGTTTTTTCTCTAATTACGAAATGTTATATATTAAAGGTTTTTTCCCAACATATTAAACCTTTTTATTTCTACGAAATTTCATATATTGTTATCTATTGTTTACGTTTTATTTAATATAAATAAAAAATAATAAAAAAACCTCAACGTTTTATCCAACACATATTATTCTTTTATATGCGTATAAGTTTAAAAACTAGCAATCACGTATATTTAATTTACAATAAATTGCTAAAATTGTCTTATTAAATACTAAAATTAATTTATTTATATACAAAAATTTATACGTCAATCACCTAGTTAAGATTATAAAACAAAAAATACTACTATATGTTTTTATTATTAAGTTGCTAATCTAGAATTATTAAATACGAGAGTTGGTGTTTCTACAATCGAATTAAATACGGGAAATTCGTTGGCAACATATTCCTTCAATAACGATCATAAGGATCCGTTGACAAATACCAAGCACCAGACAAAACGTTGACCTTTTCCCTCAAAAAAAAAAAATCCTCATGGAAACGAAGAAAGTTTCTTGTAGTAAAAGAAACTCAACTAGCAAGAAGCAACTCATAATTTCCTAATTTAAACATAGGAATTAGATTCTAAAGAAAGAGAGAGAGAGAAAGATCGGAGAATGATTTGGAGTATTGGGAAGCTGAAATGGATGATTCAGTTTGGATTATGTTTTATGAGTTTTGGATTTGTTTCAGTTTCAGGATCATTCTCCTTTGAAATTCACCATAGATTCTCAGAGCAAGTCAAGACCGTTCTTGGTGGCCATGGCTTGCCTGAAATGGGAACTCTCGACTACTACGAGGCCTTGGTTCATCGGGATCGAGGTCGCCGACTAACCTCTAACAACAATCAGACGACTGTATATTTCGCTCAAGGCAACTCCACCAAAGAAATCAGTTTGTATGAATTTTTTTTGAAACTCCTCTGTTTTTTCATTTTAGTACTATAAATAGACCTTTGATTAGATGTTTTCTTAATGATCAGTCTACATTATGCGAATGTGACGGTAGGGACACCGGCTCAATGGTTCTTGGTGGCTTTAGACACAGGAAGTGATTTGTTCTGGTTACCTTGTAATTGCAATTCCACTTGCGTACGGAGCATGGAAACCGACCAAGGCGAGGTAAAAAACTATATCTTGGAATTAATGTTTCGTCTTTTAACACACACGGATACATGTAACATATATGAAATATGTAGAGGATAAAGCTCAACATCTACGATCCAACCATATCAACATCAAGCTCAAAGGTTCCTTGCAATAGCACACTCTGTGCATTAAGAAATAGATGTGTTTCTCCGCTCAGTGATTGTCCTTACCGAATTCGATATCTCTCTCCCGGAAGCAGAAGCACAGGTGTATTGGTGGAGGATATGATCCACATGAGCACAGAAGAAGGAGAAGCCAGAGATGCTCGCATCACATTCGGGTTTGTAATTCTTTCAACTTGAAAAACATATTCAAAGTAGAGCGTTTAACTCAAAACCAATTGACAATGAAAGAATCGACTGATGCTTGTTAAGTTGATATATATTACTTTATGTCCCCTCTTATTTCATGAATTGACTAACAAAGTACTTAAAATGGTGGCAGATGTAGTGAGTCCCAACTAGGGTTGTTCCAAGAAACGGCTGTAAATGGTATAATGGGACTTTCAATAGCCAACTTAGCGGTTCCAAACATGTTGGCTAAAGCCGGTGTGGCTTCAGATTCTTTCTCAATGTGTTTCGGTCATAATGGGAAAGGAACAATTAGTTTCGGAGACAAAGGAAGCTCAGACCAGCTTGAGACTCCATTGAGTGACACTCTTTCTTCGTAAACTCCCCCTTACACATTTTCCTTTCATTTTTTTTTCAATAAGTAAACGTACATTAATATGATCTAAACACAGGCAGTTTTACGATGTGAGAATCACCAAATTCAAGGTGGGAAGAGTGACGGTGGAAACAGAATTCGATGCGATATTCGACTCTGGCACGGCGGTTACATGGCTGGTCGAGCCTCACTACACCTCTCTAACCACAAATGTACCTACCTAACTATATTGGCTATGTCTCAATTGTTTGTTTGCTTTTATTATCTCAAATGAACTTAAGCATTAAGCGCAAGCGGAAAGTTTTCCTTAACCACAAACGTATAAATTGTGTTTGAAACAAATTGAGGCACTAATTCACTAGCTAGAGCTTACTAGTTGATATATACTGACAAATCTTTTGTTGTGGTGTGCAGTTCCATCTCTCTGTACCAGACAGACGACTTCCGGCAACTGCAAGGAATCCCTTTGAGTTCTGCTACATTATTACATCAGCGTGCGTTGGCTGATCTTCGCTACACATATGATCGAAGAAGAAAATCTAATTTCATACGAATATTGATGTGTATTTGCTCTTTTGCAGTACAGATGAAGATAAGATTCCTTCACTTAGCTTTCAAATGAAAGGAGGAGCTACGTATAATGTTTTCAGCCCCATACTTGCATTCGTCACCTCCAATGTACACATCTCTCATACCATCAATTTCATGATAATGATGATTACATAAATATATATATGAATCTCCATTGCATTTTACAGGGTGTAGAATTCTATTGCTTAGCAGTCTTAAAAGAAGTTACTGCCGACTACAACATCATTGGACGTTAGTTTTTTTTTTTTGTCAGTCAAGAACATATCTTCTTGCACAATTTTAACAATTTCTAATCACATAAAACTGTGTTTCTTTCTGTTTAGAAAACTTCATGACCAACTACAGAATCGTCCACGATCGCGAGAGAATGATCTTGGGATGGAAAGAATCTGATTGTATGCTTTTAGCTTTAACTAAACTCTTCTCCCAAAAAAATAAATATAACGACATGACATTTAACTAATTTGTTAGTTATAAAAAGACTAATTTGTTTCTTGAAATTTTCAGGTAACGATGAGAACCGTTTTACAGGACCTAACGCATCAGCGAAACCGCCATCGCTGCCGCCAACGCCGTCTTCAAGACCCAAAAGCCCTTCCACTCGCCTAAACCCTCTCACTGCATCTTCAGTTTTCATCATCCTCCTCTGTTTCTTTTCTTTTCTATATATCTGATAGTAGTTCTTGTGCAAGTGCTATCTTATTTTCGTTTAAACCCTCTGAGTTTCTTGTATTATTCAATTCACCCCCGGCATTCTTCAATTTTCATCTTCTAGCCCATGTAATGTAACATGTTCGTCCCTTTCATCCAATTGGTACATTTGTAAATAAAACATCTTAATTCCTTGCTCAAATTATAAAATATCCAAAAGTCTAATTTGGAAATTATCTAAATTTTGCTTAACGGGGACATTTTCTTTAGATATATGGAAGATGAAATTAAGATATATTAAGCCAAAACTTCTAAGTTTCAACGGAAATACGTAATGGAGCAAATGGGAATTGATTCATAATGCCTTCCTCGTCTGTTGACTACTTCTCAAAAGGAGCTTATCTTTCTCAAATTGTTCTTTAAATCGAATTTATTATGATGATAAAAGTTGTACTAATCCACTACTTTATTTTTAATTAGGTAATATACTATTATTGATACCTTAATACGACGTGAGTGATATTTATCTTGTACAAAAAGGTCGACTACATCCCTTTTTTGTGAACCTTTTTTTTTTTTGAAAAGGTCAACTATAATGTTGTTGTATATAATGCATTCTATAATTGCAGGAGTTCGGTGGAATTATATGTTTGTTAATAATAATGTAAATAATAACAGGACATAGATGCAAAATAAGAAGAGTAAAGGGGCTTTTCCGCAAAAAGAAAGAGTTTACTAAGAGACTTTTATAACACCGGATTTCAAAAGTCGTCTCCTTCCGCAGTAGATACTAGATAGACTCTGTTTTCGTCAAAC